TTTATGTCCATCCTCCTCCCCTTTTTCTTAATCAAGTAGCAAATATAAAAATGAACTTGCTGAGGACTTGGATGATGTCTTCCACCATCCTTCAATCATAAATATCCATGGTGGTGTCATTAGGTATGACAACAGGAAGAAGGGGAAATATTTTGTCTACATCACATACCAGAGAGTAGACTGCAGCTTAAATTATCACACAATTGCAGTCAGCTGGAGGAAAATACTCAATCATAGAAGGTCGTGTTCAATGCTGGTCTGATTTTCAGGTTTATTTAAAAGTTTCAACTATTGGGTAGTTGAAAATAAGGACCCTTGGGGGTCCTTCGTAACATCAAGACAGACAGGCAGACAGACCCATCATACTATTCCCTTTTGGGATATGTAACATTATGCAAAGTGCAGAGAAAGAGTGAAAAGATGTAAGCAAAAGAAATTAAAGATAGGAGATACGAATTAAGAAAAGGAACTCTAATCCTGCAGTTTAACATTTTCATGTCTTGTTCCAACTTTGTGCAACTGAGCTAGGAAGGAAGGAAGGAAGGAAGGAAGGAAGGAAGGAAGGAAGGAAGGAAGGAAGGAAGGAAGGAAGGAAGGAAGGAAGACCTCTGTTTCAGATATATGAAATAGTACCCTAAGATTGTGAACAATGAGACAGTGAACCATGAAATACAAGTATTCACGGGCCTGCAGTGTTATTCCTGTTATTGAGGGGGAGGGAGGTGTTTGCAACAAATGTTATACTAAATTACATAATAATTAAAGAGGTTCCAACCCATACTTTACTGCTTATAAATAAAGTCCACAAGACATACAGAACTGTTAAAGCTAGCTAAAATACAATTCATATTTACTGGAATATAAATCTAAAATGAAAACTAAGTCCAGTAAAGGTTCAATCCTATGGTCTCAGGAGTGTGGCTATTCCAGGGCTTTATGTCTTGGTATGCATATCTTTTTCTTTGGTCAGAGACACATACAGAGAGAGAAAGAGAGGTCTGCTCTTAGAAAGGAAGTTCTGGTCTCCCCAGCTCCTATCAGTTGTTAGCAGAAAGACAGTAAATAGGTGCTTTTCCCACCCTGGAAGTCTGATTTCAGAACAAAAGAAGTGTTGTGGGTTTGCTATTGGGAGAGACTGAGTATTTTCAGGACCCCTTCCCCTCATTATGCCTTTGAATGGAAGAAAAATTACACTACCCCTGGATGGATAATCTCTGATTACTTTGCAGCAGTCAGAGAAGACAATATTAAAACAAAACAAAGCAGAACAACCAGGCATTAACAAAAAATAAAGAGAACCATGTCCATATTTTACCAGAGCTATTTTGCCTCACTTTTACCTTTTTTTACCTTCATAAGGTCTCCCTGCTCTTTAAGTATTGTAGATGGGATAAAGAGAAGCTAATTGTGGAGAATTAAATGTTACTTTGAAATCAGCTGATAAAAAAGAATAGAAGGCAATCTGAGCTTTTGGATTAAAAGAAAATACTCTGCCATGTGATCCTAATATTTGTAACCATTAAAATTGGATTACTTTTTATTATCAATTAGAACAAATGAAGCATACATTAAACAGTAGTTTCTGTAAAGCTCATTGTCTGGCATTCGGTTTCCAACTCATTGATTCAATTACATGTATGACCATCTTCTAAAAAGCTTGTATGAATAATAACTCTAATGAAAAAGATAAAAAAGAATTGCAACCAAAATGTATGAAGGTACATAGACTTATGCAAATATTTAATCTTTCACTATGTGCATGATAATTGTTTTTATTTAAATATGAGTGAGGGGGAAAATATTCTTTAGCTGTCTAGAATGGTAATAAATGCCCATTTAGAATATGTGGACATGAATCTTGATACTTGCATGAAAACCTCACATGCCCTAACTTTTCCTCATCTGATCAGAATTTATATTTTATGAATGTGTGAAAACTTCATTTGTGGTTTGATATGATTTAATTTATATGAAGTTTAACTAACATGGTAGTCTAATTTGTTAATCCAAGTGGTCCCTGACCCTAGTCTTCATTCTTCAACTGTGATTAACAGGCAGGTTCCCACTTTGTTGTATGGTGCTAATGTGACTTTTTTTTTTTAAATTTATAGTAGTAAATTACGGTAGTAGATAAGAAAACAGATCTTCAAGCCTTGGCTTTTCTCTGCTCTGAGGGAAAGCTCACCATCAATGCTTTTAAGACCATAGTTGGTCTTCTCTAAAAGCTTAACAAAATATAGATGGCAAATTGATGGACATAAGCTAAAGCAGATTAACATGCATAGTTCTTTGGATGTTATTTTCTTGTGCCCGAATTCCTGGGGAGGCTCAGATAGTGCATGTTACAGTCTGCCCAAAAGTGTGTAGCTGCAATTATCATTATCTCTTTGTCTGTCTGTCTGTCTCTCTCTCTTTCCCCTTCCCTCAAACAGGGTTTCCATATTCTCTTTGAGTCTTCCAAGTTGCTATATACATGCACGCTTGCATCTGCAAGGACTTCTCCCTTTGGAACCAATTCAATTCAAGTTTTTGAAGGCTATCTTTGGAGTCTACTAATCTGTACTTAGCTTGGAGACAGAATCTGTTTCAGGGGAAGCACAAATCTGCATAAGCAAGATCACTTATTTAGCCCCTATGATTCTATTAGATAACTTTCACTCAAGTTGAAAGAAGACCTTGGAGAGAAAACAATACAACCATGGTCTGTTTAAATTAGTCTTGCAATCCTTGGATTTCTCCCGAGTTAAAGAGATTGCAAAATGGCAGATAATGGATATTGATTTATACAGAGATAATTCTAATAATGCCATTTTGTTTTAAGAAGAGAAACCTAAAGAAACCATTTTTTCTTGAATAAATTTCTTTATAATATAGAGATTGCAAAATACCACAAGGCTTTCATCTTAGCTTGTTTCAATACTCTGCCTTTGGCCTTACTGGAAGGAAGTTACTGTATTCTATTTGCAGAGGTGTTTTCTCCCTGCATTTAGATACAGTTAAAATTGTGGATCATAGGCTATTATATCATCAATTTTATAAATATATCCATCACTGTTATATAATACCAGTTCTAAATAAGTTTCCTGGTAAATCAGATATTTTTCTATGTCAGTTATACTCACAGATTCTAATAATGTTATTTTTAAAATTGGTAAAATTTGTTTTAAAGCAATTAAGAAACAAATTATAAAACCTGGTTTGTTTAATTGTATTTTATATCATGTCCATGAGAGCAGTTAATAGCTATCTCAAGATTATATAAATGTTTCAGTTTATTAACTGTTACAAATTGATTTTAAGTTGGGATCATATTTTGGAGGGACTTGTTTTCTCATCATGGACCATTATAAATTCTCTGATCTAATCTGAATCTGTTAATTTAATAGAAAATGAAATTATATCCCTTTATTCTAACAGCTAATAGTAGATTTTTGTTTTGTAATGAGGAAATTTGCTTTATACTCTTTGAAATACTACAACAACAACAAAGTCTTTTATACTGATAACTTTCAGATTTGGTTTTGTAATTAATAAAATGGTTGAACATATTAATGGTTACAGTTTTGAGCCGTTTTCATGTTTTCATTTTGATTTATCCAAAGTCAGTGTCCATCTCTGGGTGTGAGGCTGCTTTTGTGCTCAGCCCAGATGGATGGCTAGCTTGGTGGCAGTGAGCTAGTGCTAGTGTAAGTCAGTGCATTACAGCTGCAAATGTATCTTACCCTGTAGTTCTTTCATTTCCAAAAGTAACTCTACCACAAATTCCAAGGCCAAAATTAACATCTGGTGCTATGATTCCTTGTTCAGAAAACAGATATAAACTGGAATGCAAATCAATATATACGTTAATATTACGACAACATCTGCAATATTGTAACAATGGGCAGCAATTTTTCTTTAAAAAAAATTATACTCAATTTTCTTTCTCACCATTTTTAACAGGAAAACATATTTAATATCATACAGTAAGGAACTACAAAATATTGGCCTTGAGAGCAAATGGACTGAAATTTAAAATTGCTCAGTGAATGATCCTTAGGGAAGTCAACTTGGGTTTTTTTCTTAGTCTTTTAAATAAATTTCTCACACTGTATAGTAAGTGTCAATTCAACTGAAATGTCAAAGTATAGAAAACAAGCCCCCATTCAGAAGACCATTAAAAGACCGTTGTTTTGTGCTAATAATAGGTAATTAACACAGGAAACCATAATCCTTGCTTATCCTCAAAGGAATTCCTTGGTGGGAAAACTATAACTTTAAGTCAATAGCTGGATAATGTCTTAGGAAACTGAAATGTTTCCTCATTTCTATTATTAAATGTATAGCCATTTCAAGAAAATGGTAAGAAAGCTTATTTAAGAGATAGCTTGCCTATCATTTCTGGTCTACCTTTCAGAGGTATAGGTGCCCTTTCTCTATCACAGAGATTGATTATGAAGGCTTGTGTGTCTCATTTATAGCCCAGATGAACTGAAATAGGTAATCATCCTGAGATGCTATGTAAGCAAGGATTCTCCTGTGGATTGGCAAGTATTGAGAAACAGAAACCCCTGCTCATAATATTAAAAGTTTTTGGTAGCTCTGTGCATGCTGGAAAGAGACAGACCCTCATATGTTGAGACTCACAATGCATAATTTATTTCACATTGGAATTTGGTTTGTATCACACTGGTGGCACAACTTCATGTAAGTGTGCACAAGTGCCCTATTTTGTTGTTGTTTGTTTGTTTCAGAAGACAACTCTCAAAATGTTGGGCCCCTGAAGGAAAAGAAATGCACTTGAGAATCACCATTATTGTCTTGAGTAGTGAATTAATGAATTCACAGCAAGACCTAAGGAGATGTTTACTGTGGCAGAATGTTTCCTATGGACCCCCCAATGTGCAATTTATTTAAAGCATTAAAATGTTGGCACTGTCTTTTTCTCTCTCTTTGTTCCTCCTCTCCAACCACCTTCTCCCCCCATTCCCCTCCACGCATACCACTCTGATGTGAAACAGAAAGAACGAGAGAAAGGTTCCAACCTGGCATTCATGTTTCGATTGCCCTTTGCTGCTGGCAGAGTTTTCAGTATCAGCATGCTGGACACCTTGCTATATCAGGTACTGTGAAGGGCAGATGTTTCCTTCCTTCCTTCCTTCCTTCCTTCCTTCCTTCCTTCCTTCCTTCCTTCC